ATGATTAATCTATTGAATTTGGACTTAAAGTTATTGATTAAAAGATTATATTTCTTCACGAGTTAATATCAGTAAAATGAATTTCAGAATTTATCCTCAGAGCTTGAAGTATTTTATGAGTGTTATTTAGCATTTTATGAGTGCATTTTATGAAGTTGATTTATTAACCAGTTAGTACATTATATGCTTAGCGCTCAATTTATTGTTCTAAATATAGTATACATGTAAGGTATTTAAAATTAAAACAAATCCATAGAATTAAAAGGCTTTATAATTTAAAGTTATATTAAAACATTATATTATAATACAGTAGTCATCGTTCTTCGTCTTATGAGATTGTGCTTAAGGCTATCATTCGGATATTGTTATCAAATTGCCGAAGAGTCGTCCAGTTCTATACGAAAACTTGGAAAATGCATCTCTTACTGAGATCAACAAATTAGTTAAGAAAATGTAACAAAATCAACTTTTTTAGTTGAAGTAAAGTCGACAGATAAGGTCGAAATAGAGCACAGAAATTGCCAAATGACAGAAACGTAATGCCAAACAGCTTGATTTTCCTAGGCAAGCATACACAAGGGAATCTGTTTTCCAAGGTTTAGGATGAGCTTAAAATGTTCATGAATATTCTGTTCTAGGAAACGTCCAATTCTTTTCTTTTTTTATTCGGTTTAATCCTTTTTTTTTTTTTTGTGAAGTCTAACTATAGGCGTAATGATGTGAGGACAAAGTTGATTTATTAAATCGCTATGACCAAATAAATCAATGGAATGCCGCCTTAACTTAAATATTTCTCAATTATTCTTATGCACGATTTCGAATAAGAGTGAAGATATTATTTAGAAGTCAAATTAAAGTGGAAACACAAGAAACACAAAATAGAAAAGTAGCTGTAAAATCATAATGTTAAAAAAGCACTGAAAATTTTATTTACAAATGTTTGTAAAACCATTTGATTGTCAAGGCTCCATTTGTGAGGCAAAGAACTGAAAATTTACCCCTGAAATCTGGGAAAGAGGATTTTGCTGCAGAAAATAACTGGTTTAGACGCTGGAAGAATAAAGAAAGCAATGTTTATGTATTCATGCCGGGTGAAGAAAAAGATTTACCTACTGCAGGAAAATGAATGCCAAATGAATAGCCTAAACTGTCTACGACGTACTGCCCTGAAAACATTTGTATTATTGAACGAAACATATCTATTTCATTGTGCATTGCCTCATAATACATACTATTTGCTTGAAACTGAAGGTTCAAAAGGATATCAAATAATGAAACAGCTTGTCACCATTAAAGCTGCATCAGTAAGGTAAAAAAAAAAAGAAAACCGTTAATAATAAACAAACGAAAAAAAGCTCGAATGATTTAAAATATAGTATATAGTTTATCAGTGGATTCTAAGTATGATTTAAAGACTTGACAGATGTCGGTAATTTTTAATGAAAGACTTTTGAAACGGAATGACTAATTAATAATATCACTCTTCTTACTGGCAACCACATCGCGCATAACATAAATGTCGCTCTTGAATATACTGATATTGTACATTTTCCAACAAATACAATAGCCATAATTAATCCATTTGATCAAATGGTTATTAGAGCTATGACCTACTGTATATTTTACTGTATATATATATATATACGTACTGTATATGTATATATACTGTATATATTTTACTGTATATATATATACGAAATACTGTATATATATATATATATATGTATCTGAGATAATTTACTAACTGTTTAATAAATGGTATAATAAAAAATGATTGAAGAAATGAAAACAACGTCTCTAGCTAACATAAAATTTAAGGATTTATCACTTGGGTGTACTATACTGACGAAAAATTCAAGTTGTAGTATGAATGACAGAAGATATCGGCCAGCCGCTTTCAACAAATCCAAGCACATAATGTGATAAAATTTCTGAAGAAAAAGATTAGGAAATCGATGGATTACCAACAAATGCTGATATGACGGATGTCCTACGGTTATTAAGAGCAGAGGTAACACATCTGTTACATAAGTTTTAGTAACGTTATGGATATAAATAATTCATAAACGAATGTTTGGGTGAAAATTGCAGACTATTGCGTGAATCAACTATTAATAACTGTTTTCTTAATTACAATGCTGTGAAAGTAGGTATTTATATACCTCAAATTATATTAAAATTAATTTATTTGAAATCCACTGATATTCTGAAGATATATTTCTCATTGCTCAACAAAATAGTCATTAGTAATCGTGATCACATTAATCGTTTGCTGTAAGTCAGTTTTAAGATGACCCTAAATTTTTTTTCGTTTGCATATTGGGAATATTTTTGGGTTTGTATTGGGAATATTTCGAAATTAAGATTTAAGGAAAATACTTTAGAAAATTAATACGGAAACAAAAAGTACAAGAAAAGGAAAAAGAAAATCTGAAAGCTTTCATATTATATCTGAAAGCTTATATTATGCCCAAAAGGGCAGTTTTTTTCAACGTTTTGTATGTTACCTTTATTTATTAAATATCATGTTCTTCGCACTTAAAACACATATTAAATTCAACAGCAATATTACAAAATATTTGAAAACAACAAGACCGCATATCTTTATAATTTCCGATACAATGTCTCGCGCCCTGGAGATATATTTGTTTTAGTACAGTGTTGCTCGCATTGAAATCGTTGAGTTTGTTAATCAAAAATTCTTTTAAGTTTTGCAAAATTTGAAATAGGTAGCAGAACAAATTCGAATTTCAAAATTCAGGTTTCCAAGTGTCCATATTCGGTTGGAGAATACGTTATTCAAAATTTGATGGATCTAGGTACCCTTGCTTTTTCACAATGAGAGTCCATTCATGCAAATTTCTTAATATAATACACAGAAATAATATTTAGTGGCAATACTTTGAAAAGTGAATCAACGCAGAAAGTAAAACAACGCAAAATGCCGTTTGGAGACTATTAGGCCTTTGGTTCTGACGCCACTTTTGGCTAAAAACATTTATTAAACAAAACAAAAATGCATACATTTGTGTGCTAGTAATTATAAAAATTTTCTGTTTCTTACTGCAATTTTCACCTGCAACAACTCATGCTATTTCGATTTTTATGAAGTTGATAACCTTGAAGATAGAATAATAGAAAGTATCTTCATCACGAATTGAGATACTCATCAGCAATCTGGCGCGTTTCTTAGACTTATTATTCACAACTACGGAAAAAAAAACCTGTGAATATGCTCACAAACAAAAATATTATTCTTATTGCAAAATTTCGCAATCTATTTATCTTTTATTATTATTATTTTTCTTTTGAGATCTACGACTATTATCTTTTCACTATTTATCTTTTGAGATCTACGAATAAAGTTTGATCAGATATCTTCAAATTTTTACTGTGTATCATTTTGCCCTCTGTATAAATAATGTATAATGTATGTAAATCGATTCAAATCACAGTGTAAATTAATTAACTCGAACTGCAGATTTTCTACAACATTGCTCACATTGCTTTTTAATACTGGAAATAATATAAAATATGACTCATTAAAATCTTAAACTTGTTCTCCTTGCCATAATAAGCGAGTTATTTTGTGATACATAAGCTGCTCGTGTAAATCTGCTACGGAGAACACCTGTGGGATTTCAGTTTGAGAAAACTGATATATACTAGTATAAATTTTTCGAGCAGTCTGCCCATTTTTTCATTTTAAAAAAAGATTATAATAGGGCAAAAATTAACTTTTGAATTCTTCATTCTTAGCACTAACTGAAAAAAAAATTGCGATAACGACATACTATAATTATGTAGCCTGAGCATAAAATACCAAACTCAAACATCTGATTCGAATCGAGGTCACTTACCAGCAGTAGTATAATGATAATCTAATACTCTTCGATTTGCAAAACCGCAGAACATTAAGCATGACACATTATTTCAGCTTATGCGAACAGCTTTAGAAAAAACATACTTAATCCAGCGGTTTGAAAATCCAAGAAATGTGTTTAGAATAACGCAATAATCGAATCAGAAACTTAATTAATTTATTAAAAAATGTTATTAAAATATAACTGGAGAAAACGATTTCCTCTCTTTTTCAGAAAAGTTTCAAATAAGCTGGCGTGTGTATGCAGACATTTAAATCTTGTTTGATTTAGTTTAGATATTTTAAATCGGGGAACGTAGTTAAGACTTTTCACAACTCTATTATTCATAATATTCTACCCTAGATAAAGTCAGCCATTAAGAAGAGCTCTAACAATTCGAATGTCAGGTGAAGGAGACCTGTCTTAGTCGGCTGATACTGTCAAGAAATTTTCTAAAAAACAATCGTGAAATGATGACTCGGATTATTAATCTCGTGAGCTTAACTCGTTATTCCAAGTGTCAAAATACATACCATAATTCTCGAAAATACAGTGATAACTTCAATATTTTAACAGAGTTTGACAGTTCAGAAGTGGTGGGGGATGTTTAGTCGAATATATTTACAAATGCACTGATAAAAACTTGTTTTTGATTCATTAAGATTGCCAGACAGGAGAATTTTGCATTGAAACTAAATGGTAGAAATATTTTTTGTGCTTTAAAATGAAACTGCTTTCTGTTTTTTTTTTCGCCATAACAGTACTTTTGATACTCACCCTAAATGTGTTTAAAACGACAAATTTAGTTCTTATTTCAAATAATGAAACAGTTTACTTAATGTATGTATATGTATGTATGTGTGTGATTATGGCAAAGCCTCGAGGGCTATCTGCCTAAGAGGAGGGCTGCCTTCGTGGAGGACTTTCTAAGGGAAACTGGCTCGTATACACGTTACACATGGGCAAAACCACGAAAACGCCCATGCAGCCAGCCCATAGTTTACTTAAAGTATTTATGTGTTACTTCTCTTACAAGAAGGTATTTTAAGAATACATTCTAACGCATATTAGTACATAACTGTGGATATGTTTAAAGTATAATCATTAGTAACTATTACTTAAAATTTCGCCTCTCAGGTTTACCAAAAAGGCAAAGATAGTTTTCACGTTTCCCAGTCCGCTGACCCAACCTGTGATGGACTTGTTCTACCTGGGGATGGTTCAAGAATAATGAATCTTACAAAAAGTAAGCTGTTTACAACTTTTATCCTTAAAAATTAATTTTTAAAATATTACATACAGATTTTCATTTCAAGATCTTTTAAGAGGGAGAATGCTCTAAAATTTTTAAATATTCACGAAGTTATAAGTTTGAGAAAGGCATACTGCTTCAGAGATAAATTGCTACAACAGTGAAATATTTTGACAAATTGCTGCAAATTTAAGATTGCATTTAGATTAAGGTCATACACAAACTGCTACCGGTTCAGTCAATCAAGGGCACAATAATGAGCGATAACTAATTAGTCTCCCTGATTTTCTTCGGCTGTTTTCTGGGCAGATTAGAGATTAAGATGTAAATATGGTTTAAACCGAAGAGCACTCCAACGCATTTTCTTCAAAAGGGGTGCGTTACTGCAGGTTACTAATCATGTCTCTATGCACAGCCACTTGGTATTTCCGTTGGATTGTTGCGAAACACAGCCCCCAGCCCGTGTAATGGTTATCAACGCTGCCTGCCGTACCGATGGGTTCGAGTTCGAATCCCGGGGCATGGATATTTGTAAGTATATATTGCCTGTGCGGCAAAGAGGCATTTAAGATGTATGGTGAATCGAAAGTCCCACTCCACCCCGGGGTGTTCTTCCTCAAAACTGGGCCCAGCTACACTATTTTAGTGGAGCAGAAAGTATACCTATATCAACAGAAGTGAGTTTCTGGGTATTGCTCACTTCTGCCTGTACCTTTTTCAGGAATACTGTGCCTAGGCAGGATAGTGGATATTGAAACTGACTGCCATATAGAATGGTCCAAGCTTGAATCCATGAACAAATATGAATATCGTATAGCGATTGCGCTACAAAAATCACTCTAAACACATGGCGAGTTAAAAAATCTCTCGAGAGGTGATTTGAAATCATCTTGACAGGTTAGTGGTAGGAAAAGAGGGCTAGGAAACCCCTAGACTGAACCCCGGCATGTTCTTTTTTGGAATTCCATCTGGGGCGGAAACTTAGCACACAGCAAGGTCCAGCCCCTAATATGCCTACTTGATGGCCAGGTGCCGGCTTTGCTTTAACCTGAATCTGACGCAGGGAAACAACCGCCCTGATCAGTATAATGGCTAGTGCAACGGATTGTTGAATCATTAGACTCGTGTATGAATCACACAGAAGGCACGTATGTTTGTGTTGCATGGCAGACTCTCAATATACGGTGAACCAAACACGGTGTCGTGTTGTTTGTTGGTAGGGAAGAAGTGGGAGACCGTCCACCGGGGTGTTCGTCTTTAAAAATTAGCGAAGCTTAGCATGTAATGCGGCATCACTACACCAGTACGGCTAGTGGTGAATATCTGATATCCCGCCTCACTTCTAAAGGAACCCAACATGTTGCAAAACATGTTTCGAATTTAAAGGTAAGGAAATTTGAATAATTTTTGAAGGCATAGTGCATAAAAATATTGAGCGTAATAAAGCATATACAGGCAAAAACAACCTCATAAAGTAGCGGCCCGGCAATTCATATTAGGCGATATCTGAATATGTGAGATATCATTTGGCTTCATTAGAGTGACCGACAATGGATGTGAACTGGGGAGCTTGATTAATTTCCATATAGTAGATTTTATGATTGCGTCATCCAAAATGAGGCTTCATTACAAGAAAATCAGCTTGAAATTCGTACATTCGACAAATGTCATAATTTGAAATCAAGAGCAGTTTATCGGAACATATTACGTTTTGTCTTATTTCAAGCATTCTTTCTTGATGTGGCATTTTCTCTGTAAAAGAACAGTTAGTAACAAAGTTACTGGCAAATGATAAATTAATAAGCTTTCATATTGAGTTTTATTCGAAAACCGGTTTTCTGGTACAGTTTATTTAATGATCGGGTATAAAATAAATAGAATGATCAAGGAAGTAGTTAAGACATATAAATTACTGCTTTTCAGTTTAGAATTCGTGCGGAATTCAGTACTATTACAAAAGAATACGACCAGTATTAACTAATAATGGCCATTTATTTTAGTCGATTGTGAGTATTTACTATTATTTCAATCAAGTATGAAATTGTTTTAATATTAAGCTCTTAGTCATAGTTATCAGACAGTTTTGCTGCATTTTTATGGTACTGATGTCATAAGAAATGTTAGTGTATTATTTAATAAATGGACGTATAAACAAAGACAAATCTGTTTACAATACGAAGTATTAAGTTTTGAATCAAGTGCATTCATGAAATATTTGCGTTAATATTTTGTTCTTTAAACTATTATGCGTTAAACCCTCTGATTTACAGAAAAGGTTCGCTGTTATAAGAAAAGGGGCTAACATTTATTTACTATAAAGCCTTCACTATTTCTGTTTACCTACTATATTAGTAAAAAATCTCTCAAATACTGGCTTTCATTACAAATTGTAAAGAAACACTATTTAGTAAAACCCAAATCAAGCATAGAAAATTAGAAAAAACAATACATTTGAATTTCTACATATTTTGTATCCTATTAGTAAGTAAAATTGCATGGAATTTATCATGAACAGTACTGCAAGAAAAGTTTAGAATTTGAATTTAGGAAGAACATAAAAGCATTTATGTACAAATAAATAACCGCTGCTTGTGAATTTCCAAAGAATACTTTTCCTTACGTTTCCCTTATCTCTAGTATCGGCGTAGACAGAATAAATCTATAACATCAGTAAGCTTTCATTCCTTATAATATTTATTTGCTACTGGCCTAGAAATAAAATATGCATTATATACAGGTCAGTGAACACGATCGAAGGCTGTCAGTGGGCATATCTTCTCTTTGAAGCTCTCCATTAAATATGTTTTTCTGCCGATACGAAAGGATAGTCTATGGGGTGAATGAAAAGAAATGGAGAGTAGAAAAACACATGCGCTGTAAATGTACAAGGAAATTCCATCAGGGATATTTACGTTTCATTCTGCACTGAAAGTTGTCCATTTTGCTTAAACTTGTTTCTTCAATACTTTTCTACTACAGAACTGTTTCAAGTATCTTTTTATAGCATCATTTCCTTTATAGTAAACAGAAAATTTTCAGTTCTGTTCCTAAGTGCTGCATTTAATATTAATGCTCTCTTTCAGCCAAACATCCGACATCGGGTTGCCAGTTTCCTTCTTGGGTAACACTGCCTCACCGTTGGCACACATTAGATGGGCGTATGACATACTATTTCAGCCATCGAAATACAAGTTACCGCATTGTACACGCACACTCAGATCATCCGGAGACTAAGGTTACTTGCACTGACGAAGTATCATCAACTCCAAATTCAACAACAGTTGTAGCATACAGTATGCAAGGCTGGTAAGTATGAACTCATTTTAGCATTGAATTAAAATTATTAATCAATTTTCTTTAGAAATTTCTATCACATGAGAATCCATAATAATACATAAATTATGCAGTGCAATGCATCTGCAATAAATTTGTAATAAATAGACTTATCAACAAAATGTCGATTTGGATATGTCTGTAAATATCGTGACTCAGACTGGGGATTAAACGCAGAATCATCGTATTCTCGGAGACGTTTTATTACCAAGTGAGTTATTTTCAACGGTTAATCGAAGTTCAACTTTAATCGTCCCTAGATAATTTGCAGAGGATTATGAAATTTGCTTACTTTTAGCTGTCCCGATAGGTATGGTTGCCAACAGAGGCTAGATGAAAACTTCATTGGGCCCAAACTTGAAACCAGTTCAAGACTTGGACGTTTATATCCTAATATTTTAGCAGAAACTGTGGACTTCAAATGAATCAATAGAAAAGCCCTCTTGAATGGTACGGGAAGAGTGGAATGAAATCTTAAAATTCTATCTTCTGAAGCTCTCCCATCGAAAACTGGGCAACGTTGCCCTTTATAGCCCTCACATACTTTCCCTAGATTAAATATTCCAATCATTGTGCCTAGTTTGTAGTGACAAATCATTTATCCTATCGTGATATTATCACAGGTACATATCGCAAATATTAATTGAAAACTTTAAAAGTCTAAATTTTTAAACTAAATTTTGACCATTTTGAAATTTCATTCTTCGAATATTGTTATACTAATTCATATTATTTTTTTCAAAGTAACTAAAATTCAGGTGTAACAACAACGCAAAAAAAAAAAAAAAAAAAAAAAGAATCGCATAATACTTCAGTATGTAAATTATAACAGATTTTGCATGGATCAAAACGCATTGTTATAAATGTTTCATTCGTTGTCCCATACGAATGAAAAAGACTACATCATAAAATTTTTTCGTATTTTATAACAATGTAAAGTTACACATTAAAGAATATATATTTGTACATTCCGGGTATTTAAGCGGATATTCATATCCTCTGGTTATTCATATCATGCTTATAAAGATTTAATATTGTTTAATGTTCAACTGAGTTTAAAAAGAGAATTGCAATTTTTTTAATTCACTCACACTGAGAGTTCAAAAATCTTATACATCGAAAGGAATATAAAAAAATAGGCCTAGAGGGAACCTTTTGTAATCGTTAAAATGTGATCTTATACCCCCGTTAGATTCGGACATTTATGTTCTTGATGCCCGTTTGAACTGACTGCCTTTGCTAGTAGCAACAGCTGTGAAGTTGAAAAGGAGTGAAAGGTGAAAGAGAAATCGATCCTCGAAGTTGAACGTATCAATTACAGCATCAGTTCCCAAATAACTACACAGCAACAGATCGATTTGTTACTCTACTTTTATCTCGACAGGATGGGTTGCTGTAAATTGGACGCAGAACAATACATTCTTTGTCATCTTTTGCCTCAGGAAAAAGTTAAATAAAAAATATTTGAGAAAGTCTGATTTTCTGCTTGAAAGGAAGAAGTTTTCCTCTTCTCGTTGCTGTGCAAAAAGTTCGACGATCTTAAATTTTGTATTTGTTTTTGCAGCAAGCTTTAAATTAGATATCCTTTTTTTCTTCCTTTTGTTTCTGCATTTTCCATTTGAAAAAAAAAATGCGATTCAGCTTTACGATCGAATCACAATGTTTAATGAATTCAAACAGTATGAGATAATTTCTTTTGCACTTAAAATGGCAAAGACGAGACTAGTTTTTAACCCTATAAATGCCAGATAGATATAAAATTCTAAATTTGAAATTATGCTGCAGTAAGAAGCAAAAAATGTTGTGTTATAAAAAATATTTCTTTCTTTGAGCGTAGTGTTATGATTGTAATTTAGGAGAATCTCAGCATCAGGAAGCACTGTGCAGCAAATAAATAGAATGAGTTACTTTTTATTAGAATCATAATTTTTTAGCGTTTTACTTATTATTTCATGGGTTTTACACCTACTATTTCAATCCTAATTCTAAAAAACACATATGATTGCACATAGCTTTTCTGTGAAAGAGTAAATGTGTAGGAATGTGTTCCACAATGCTTTGAGGAGAATATGACTTACTTTGTAAGTGGCAGAATAAGAGACAGGTAAGAGACAGGAAGGCAAATAAAACTAAGTTTCGTTTGGTTTATTTGATTATGGCAAAGCATAAGAAGGCTACCTGATCAGGGAAGGAATGTCTTAACGGAGGGCATTCTATGAGAAACTTCCTCTTACTCACGTTATATATTGGGAAAAAACCGGGAAAGACCCGAGAGGCGGTCCGTTCTCTGGAATTTGAAAGCGAATCGAGCTACAACTCCTAAGTCGCTTTATTCCCTCAGGCACTGGTGGACCAACAGGTAACAGACTGTTGTCATAAGAAGAAATAAAGATTTGAATTAATTTAACTGCAGAAAATTGTACTCATTGCAAAGCTGGATGTTCGATTTCAGCGAATACAAACGTTTGAGTATTTTGTGCACTACTGCAGCAAGAGTATGCCAAAGTCTGTGAAATTCGACAAAAGCTGTATTGATAAAATAATATGGCAAGAATCCAGTAGTAGATACTGGACATGAGGGAAAAATCAGGGGAATAGTACCTCAGAATAGACTAATGTGTTTGCGAAAAAGAAATCACTGCAGTTGGCTATAAAATCCTCCATGAAGGCATCCCCATTTATAGGCAATTATCTCTTGTGTGCCTATATTAGTATTCCTATATAGTTATCTGCTCAGATAAATAAGAGTTCCTTCTGCATTTAGATAATGGCAAAGTGCGTGCGGAACCTTAGGAAGAAAGGGATCATTTGAACCAGACTGGTGTTATACGGTTGAGTAGCGCTAGTGAAATAGTTTGAAAAGCGGTTACTTGGACGTTCTTAGGATATCCTATCGTACTGGAGAGATTCCTAATAAGCTCATATTTTATGTTAATATAACAGCTGATCAGTTATAACCATTTGTTAGCATCTTCTCGTCAAATATGATGCCTTCTTCCAACATGAAATGCCCCACCCCATTATTCATAATTGGCACAGAATCAATTGCATGAGTGTTCCATTTACTTTGTATCATTAATGGGATCTCCCATCTTACTAGATTTAATTTTCCGTTGAGAATTTGTGGAATAAGTTGGAACGTATATTCAAACAATCACTCACTTTTACGGCGTGTGAAACATTTGTAATATATACGTATGGAAAGCTATTAAAATAAGATCGGTTAAGGCAGCTCATTGAATTACTGTCTAGGTGTATACTTGTTGCTATTCGAGAGAAAGGTGGACAACAGGTGCCTCTGATTGTATTAATTTTTCAATTCATTGTTCAAAATCGCCCTATAATTTATATGTAAACTTCGTTCTTTTTGTGATTTACTGTATTAATTTATAAAATATTTGTATACTGCTCAAACTTTTATAATAATAAATGATAAATGTAAGAAACTAAACATAAGTTTTAAAATTTTAAGATGTGTTTAGAATTATGCCTCTAAATCTTAGCATTACACTAGAATAAAGCAACATAATTTTAAACTCCATTGCATTCTTTATCTCAAGTTACTTCAGATCTGATCGCTGAATGCTTTGGACTTCTTATTTCGTATTATTTAAAAAGTAGATATAATAAATCCATGCATGCGCTCACCAGCACGTATTTAAATTCATGTTATTTTTTATTCTTCATATTGAATCATACGGTGTTCACCTGCTGTATAATTGTAAATGCTGGCCACATAGATTTGTTTCTCACATAAAATTTCTTGTTTCAGCTATAATGCCTCTTTTTTCCTGTTCTTTATAAACATAATAGTTATTAATTAGTCGCTAAGCTAGCCAAGCATGAATTTTTCTTCCTTTCACAGCATTTTTTGGTGGCGGTGAGGAAAATGAATTCAAATTTAAATTCACCAAATTTTCGTGCTAAATTTAAATCTACCTGCTTTCCTCCGAATACTCGTATAAAATATTCAGCTTAAATCTTCTGAAGATAAATCTAATAACAAAATAATTGTTGGACGACAGATCTAAATTTCCTGATGCATTCTTGAAATTTCGGTGGCTAATATTAGATGCAAAACGTTTGTACTAGGAAATGTATTTTCCACAATATATATCCCTAAAAAAAAGGATACAGCTAACGATATCAACGATGTAGCCGAGAATCGAATAGTGAAAACTTCTTACGGCATCTCCGCCGCTACTCAAAAATTTTACTTCGATCTGCAATGTAACTCACTGTTTTATTGCGGCCTAATCACTTGTTATCATGGTATAAAAGAGTATTTTAATTTAAGTTTTCATAATTAATAAAATTGAAAGATTCAACCTTTCCTACCGTTTAAAACTTGAAACATGATATTTATCGAAATTTTCTTTGTATGACGTTATGAAAAAAATTATTAACTAATAAAAATTCTTAAGGTAAAAGAAATGAAATGAAAGCTAACCATTTAAAGACACTTTTTGTCTTATTTGTTAATGCATGTTCACATATTTCGAATCATCCAGACACAATATACAAAAGTTGATTTGAATGAAAAATTAAAGCTTCCAATTTAAAAACAACTGAAGGCAAAACTACTACAAACTAGAACATAGAATTAAATTTTCAAAATAAGAATACAGTATATTTTTTTTGCGGGTAAATAAGTAATTTATTGAAAGCCGCGGATACTTTTAGAGGTAGATAATTTGAAGATAAATTGAGCTGTCTTACATAATCAAACTATTCCTTCAGCTGAAAAAATGCATAATATTTAAGAGATTTTTATTCTAAAGTTTAATATTTGTAACTACGAAACTAATAAGAAATACTGCCAAATAATTAAAATACAGTTTTCTAATATATTTGTTACTTTAGTGTTAAATTAAACTGAAAGGTTGTTATTTTGATAACACATGTAGCTGAGATTGAATGGAAGAGCTGATGGGCTATTGTTGGGGATGAGACTCCTTTATTCCTGATATCACAGTTGGGTGTTTGCTATACGATGTGTTCCGTAGTACATGTCCATCTAGACAAATTTCGGATTTAGGGAATTGTACACCCTCTTGTATTGTTTAGTGCATTGTGGACGCTGATTACATTCAGAATTTCTTGCGTTATTCTGCCTGGCAAATTTCAAGCCCATAATAGTTCAGTTTTTCGATAATTCTTTTCAGTTTCGGCAGTATGTATCGGTGTGTTATTAAAAGACGTCTAAATGGTATGTCAGTGTTAGAGGGTCCTTTCAAATGGATTTCTTTTGTGAGACATTTGAAAACATACTGATTAGCATCAAACAATTCTGTACACTAGCATTTGTTGGTATTTGCCAGGTTTCTCTCACAGAAGTATTCCTGGAATGGGCCATGGCTCGATTAGAATTGCTCAAGAAACTATGTGCGCTTAAGTTTTTATTATACACTTTGGGAAAGAATTCGTGACGACTCATTGTCGCTTCGCCTCACACTTGTTGCCAAATCTCTTGTGTGCGCATACTTAGTGTATTCCTCATATAAGTCTTGAGAAACGGCACATCAAGGAATTCATTTATTTTCTTTTGTGCTGCCTCCTTTGCAAATTACTTTTCAGAGTCCTTACCTGAGACTTCACAGTGGCTTTTTATACATACGAGTGTAATTTTTATATTTTGCATGGTTTTTTTAGTATTGATTAATTTCGATTCCAATTAAAGTTCTTATCTGGTTTACGAAGTGATAATATTCCCGCTTGACTGTATGGTATGATTAGCATTATACACGATAAATAATAAATCATTGTAAGCAAAATTTCAATAAACATAAAAATAGGCTGACATTTAGTGAACAAAATATTAGAGACATCCTTTATCAGAATGAAAGAGAATTCTGAACTTCTTTCCAATATATTCCAAAAATAAATGAAAATTAAAAGATCGCAGCTTTAAAAGAAGTAAATTCAAACATATTTAAGCCTATATACTTATGCACGTAAACATTAAAATATCATGTTTCTTTCAGCTATTATAATAAAGTACTTTAAGTTATTTGAAAAGTGATTTATTTTAAATATGATATCTATTGTAATTCATGTAAAATATGTGATTCGTAGCTATTTTAAGAGCTCTTACAAGTGAAGCACACTTTTGTAATTTAGCATGAGCATTTCAATGTTTACCTTGCTCGATGTTTTTCGAATTAATCATAATAGATTTTTTTTTCTCTTTTCAGCTCAAATGGTTTCGTATGCCTGACGTTTCATCAAAGAGAAAAACACATTATTGAAATCCAGACAGGTAAGGTCTATTGAATAAATACATACTTAGCAAAATGCCCTTAATTACCTCGCGCCGAGGATGTAGAAATCGATAGCTTTATGCGGCGTCATTACAGGTGGTGGGTTCTCCAGTTGATTCAAAAATTTGCCTAATGTAAGTCTTCTAGAAATATCATTAAACGGTTTAGTGGGATACACGGATTAGCTGGAAGCTAATAGCATAAGTATCGGGTCAATTTCCATCAGACTAGTTGAGTATTGAGCTTAAACATTTATTCTCTGAAGTAAATGAATGGAATTATGTCACGATATTCGATGTCAATATGGTTAAAAAATTATTTTAAACGCATTAATAAAAGGATAGAAAATGACTGTCCCTGATTAGAAAATAAAAATGGAATAATGACAGAATTAAAGACTAAGAAAGAAATCATTTGTATGCTTTTTAGACACCCCGAAGTTTTCACAGAATTTACGTAAAAACGAAAGTTGTGAATAAACGCGGGAACAAAAGGCAAAATCATTTAAGTTCCTAAAAAACCTCTCTCATTTAAGTTCCCGATACTTTCAGCAGGTTTAAACGTTATACTAGATTCTCATTTCTTTTACAATTAAGCTTCATTTAAGTTGTATAATTAATTATGAGAATGAGAAATCTTAAATCTTAATTTAAACATCCTTTTCAACTAATAAAAATCTAAATCTTAAAGCAAATCCAGCGTGGTACTTCACGACACTAGTCTGACAGTTCTTATATTCTTAATAAATGCTTCCTAATCGTTAGTTTTGTACAGTTTTATAGTTTGCTTTTTTTTTTTTTTTTTTTTCCTTGCGAACATTTTATTGAATGATATGAACATGATTTTACTCTATTCTGAGAAATATTAACAATAATTGGGCTCAAAATTTATACTAAACAATTACTATTACATTTCGAAGAATATATTAAATTTAAATCAAAGAAGTAGTAATTTTATAAAAGTTCGACAGAAGGCAATTTTTTTTTTCTGTAAAATAGTGTGCAGAGAATTCGTTGTTTTTGTTATTAAAATCAATTAAAAATTATTAATCGATAAATGTTTCTGTTTTCTGGGAAATGCATTGTATTAAATTAAAAGGAATTATCGCCTGCGCTGCATGCATGCTCTCGTGATATAACTGGTAACCCGTCCAGCTGATACTGGAAATGTTTGTGTTTCGAAACTCGGTGGTAAAGCAAATGAACACCGCCCAGACGGTATAGTAGTTCGTGAGGCTACGTGCGGATAGGATCGGGCTCAAGTTTCGGAGAAGGAATGGAGGCTGTAAATGTATAGTGTCTGTGCGTCATGAAAGCACTCAAAATATATATGCCAAGCCAAACGTTCTCTGTAGTGTTTTTGTGGTAGAGGATGAGGAGTGGGACTCTCGGGCTCGTCGCCTGGCTGCTCTCCTTTAAAATTGGGGAGGAAATGGGCAGTATCGTACTGTTGCCCATTTAGTGCTCATGCCAACGACAGATGCAATCTTGTACTTCTTGCCTTGATGTAAATTTATGGGCTTGCTCTGATTAGGTCAGATTAATCTGATTAGCCACAGCAAGAATAAAGGTATTATGATATTAATAAATGTAGCAAAGGTACATGTATAATTTTTTCTCAAATATTGAATCTCAATATGATCCATTTTAATATTATGGTACTAATAAAAGGTAATGAAAACATTTGCATTACACAAAATTCAATTTTCTTTCCAGTAAATTAATTTCATAGACTATAAAAACCGCTTTAATATATTGTATAATCAGAGCATCTGTAAATCATCCTGAAAACGGAAGTTCTTTAAAATTTCGAGTTAAATATTTTATTTAGGCATTTACACTGGTTTAAGCTGATAGAAGTTCCAAATTTTACTAATGACGCCCAACCGGGTAGTGGTTAACGACGCCTGACTGCCGTGCCAAAGGGCCGGAGAAAGCATGGATGTTTGCAAATGTAAAGGTAAAGGTAAAGTTAAAAGTATGGGAGACACCAGCGATGTACCATAAGTCAACTAGTAATGCCTTCCCATACTAACTCTTTGGAAAAAAAAGGGGGGTTAGTTGCAAGTTTTATAAGAATTTGCATAGACTGAAGCTTTTCAAAAGGTGTAGAGTTTGCCTATTATGGTATATCGTGCAATTCCACAGTACGCCCCGCATCCAGTGTTTATTTAAAATAATGTGTATAGTGTCTGTGCGGCACGCTAAATATGCGGCGTTCATGGAGGCACTCTAAATATGCGGCGTTCATGGAGGCACTCTAAATATGCGGCGAGACGTAAGTCCTCTGGAGAGATTGTTGGTAGGAGAAGAAGGGTGAAAGACCCTCGGATTCGTCCCATCCCTGTGTGCGCTCCATCAAAACTGGGGCGGAACTGAGAGAAGTCAGCTGTATGCTGCTCAAGGCTCTTGCCAACGACAAGCGCAATCTTGCACTCCTTCCCATGATGAATGTTGTGGGCTTGCTTTGATGTTACTGCCAGACAAGTGAGATAAGTAACAACAACAACAACAAATTTCACTAATTAGACGGAAATGTAGAAAATATAAAGTAACTTTCATTACATTAGTCCACGTTGTACTAAATTTTAGACTATGGTTGCGTTAATTTAAATCTAACGCTTTAATGGAATTTAAAACATGAGCCATGCGAGTTATGTTGCACGAAGTCAAAAGATTCCCTGTTTGTAAATTAATGTTTCAAGTTTGATATTCTTTCACTGCTTATCTTGCTTATCATAACACTACATTTCAGATTTTACTTGCAAAGCTAATTTTTTTGAGTATTTGCATAGCTGTTTACAGACATTTATCACATTTTCCATTATTGCTTAGATAGTGGGCATATATGTAGCAAATATACGTGAACTATATAATTAAAAAAATGAATAGACTGATATTCAATCATTTCTAAAAGTTGCATTATCGAAATAAGCACAAATAACTAACCATTACATAATACCAACAGATAATTTAAAACTGCAGATTAAATCCTATGATTATTTATTTACGCTTTATCTAGTAGCAGTTTAATTTATTACATCAGTAAAAATACGTATTTCACGGAAGTATTAATGAACAAGGAAAATATTTTGAGTTATAGATGGAAGTTTCAAAAATTTTACATGATTTTTAGGGCCTTTAGAAGATAAATTTAATAAATAGTAGATATATGGTACTAGTGATAATAACGTAGTGTCATAAAGACAAACGTTGTCTATATTGAGAAACAACAGCCGAAGACTATTTCAACAGATATAATTAAAGAGAGCACGAAACAAAAATTCATTGTTTTGAGAATAAGTGCTTCAAGAAATTTATTTACGAAATATTACGCAAATAATTCATGTTTTTGAGAGATAATATTGCTAATGCGGCGGATGCATATTAGCTACAACCGCAGAATTAACACTTGTATCAACATATAGAAGACACACACGTCCCTGATGGAACCTGGGATTTGGAATGATATTTTTTTTTTTTTTTTTTTTGGATTCGTCGAAATTTCCTATGAAAACTAATTCTTGACATTTTGTCATCTTTCACTTAAAGTAGTATTACTAAAGCTCACTTAATATGACAGAGAATACTATTCTTAAGACTGTATGTAGAGAATCTACTTATTCGGACGGAAAAGCATCCTGCAATGTTTTCGAAAGTTGCACCCGCTGTTTAACGGTTTTAATCAAAATTAACGACACTTTTAATGTCGTGTTCTAAAGGAATGTCAATTTCATCCTTTGCAAATGAATATTGTAGAGAAATTAGTTTATTTCGAAGCAGAAGAGATGAAAAATGAGCAATGCCCTAGCCGGAACTCGAAACTCGGACCTCTCGTATACGCGTCGAGAATGCTGACTACTACACCACGAAGGTATGCCAAGAAGGCGGGAGAAATACTTCATAAGATGATGTTAATATTAAGCAGTTTATAGATCTTCTGATCTGAATTCAACTATATATATATATATATATATATATCTATGAGCAGAAATGCAAGGAGTGCTCGCTATGGATATCCAAAATTGTCCCTTTCTATGATTTGAATTAAAATCTGATGTAGAGAATGAGAGTACCCTCGCTGTAATCAAGTGTTAATTTAAAGTACAAATAAACTAAGGTAATGTTAGAGAACTTGTAAACTTTATGTATCACTGTCTCGTATTCTCCAAGTATAAAACCTCATATACCATACATAAAGCTGTGGGAATGGGTTATTATATTTTAAAATACAAAGAAAGCGTTTTAATCTGTTGTACAACTTCATCATTTGATTTGGAAATCAAGTGTAGATATCATTTTATTTCTGCAATATATTCAGTGTTCAGATACACTAGGTAAGTTTTATTGATGATCTCTAATATGTTCCATACTGTTTTGGGTGTGGGACAAACTACCTTAAGTAAAGAATTAGAGAAATCGGATGATTAATAAATTAAATATTAATGTCAAAATGTAAATATTTGGGAGGGATACAATTTTGAGATTTGTGCCAATTGTTAAAAATCTGAACCATTTTTCATACAGTTCTGCTCCCTAAATATCCCTCAATCTACACTTTTGAATATGCCTCCTTTTAATTTTCTGAATCTAAAGAGCAACTGCAAGTTTATGTCTTGCACACGGTTGCATTTGCATAGGGAAAGCAATAGCGTGAATGCATTAAATCTCTTTAATGGCCAATTTTCTAGGAGATGTGCTCTTTTAAAATGAGATACGTACAAGAAGAGATTTATAATCGCGATCCCACTAAGCTTGTAAAAATCTTCACTATATAATTTTTAACCATTATGCAAAGCCATTTATTGTGCATTTTAACGAACTTGATAACACAGACAGAATGTGTGAGATGCTTCTAAGATTTTAGCTTATTTGTCTTATGTGCCTTTAGATCTATCTCCGAAGTTTAACGCACAAGTCTTCCGCTTTTATAAGAGCGGAACATTATATATCTAAGTATAGTTTTACGTTGCATGCTTTTACTCAAGCTGAAATGACAA